ATTAGCGGGTAAATATGCCCAATGGTCTGTGATGGAATGTTAGATGGGGGGTGTGATCTGAGTTACTATAGAGAATTCTTCCCTGAGTGTCTGGCTGCTGAGTCTTGCCCATATGCTCAGGGTTTAGCTGATCGCCATATTTGGGGTCGGGAAGGAATTTTCCTCCAGGGCAGATTGGCAGAGGCCCTGGGGGTTTTTGCCTTCCTCTGCAGCGTGGGGCATGGGTCACTTGCTGGAGGATTCTCTGCACCTTGAAGTCTTTAAACCATGATTTGAGGACTTCAATGGCTCAGATATAGGTTAGGTTTTTTTTTGCCAGAGTGGGTGGGTGAGATTCTGCGGCCTGCGTTGTGCAGGAAATCGGACTAGATGATCATATTGGTCCCTTCTGACCTTAAAGTCTATGAGTCTATATACATCATGAAGGCTCAGTAGATGGTGGCATGAATTTATAGCTTGTTTTTAACTTTTTAAACATCAGGGATTATAGTGTTCTAAATTTACTGATACTTCTGAAGTGAAAAAGCAGTTAAGCTTTATCCTAAAGAAATAAGAGACTATTTAATTTATTTTTGTGCCCTTTATCAATGAACCTGTAAAGTGTGCCAGGTTACTGATTCAGAAGAAAATCTTTTTTGCGTTCTGAAAACTGGTAAATGCTGACTTTTAAAATCTCTCTTAGATCTAGTTATTTGTATAATTATTAGAACTTTTGAGCACATAAAACATAACTTTTGCAGTACAAACTTGAGAAATTAACTTTATTCAAGGAAAATGGGTATACTCTAGCATGTGTCACTCCTTTGGCACTCTGCTCAAAATGACACTTTCATTGTGGTCCATGGATGGGGCTGCAGAGTTATTACCTTGCACTTCCTTTGGTCCCTAATGATCGTCCACTGATGACCATGAAAGATTTGCACAAAGATTGAGGATAGCATATGGCTTTTAAAATTAAAAAAAAAAAAACCTTATAATCTTCAGTTAATAAAACTACTGTCCTGTGGGAGAAAAGGATGCAGTTCCTGGTTAGGGCCAGCACTCTTTGCCTTTTGGCCATTTCCACATGCAGTTTGCACCTTATGATTTTTCAAGCACAATTACAATAATTGTGTTTGCAGATTAGGGACACAGTTGTATACTTACATAGTCTGCAAATCTGATTCGTATCGTTAGGTTTAAGGGAGAACACCCTATTGAAGGTAAAAGGAGGTTGATGCCCTCTGTGAGCTTTTTCAAAGACAATGCTGTATCAGTTGTACTTCTTTTTGTTTTTAACACAGTCTTTCCGACTAATTGCCAGAAACTTTCATCTTCCATAAAATAAATATAATGAGGGCAGGTACTCACATTCTGAAACATTGGAGTCTGTCAGAGCACCTGGATATAGATATCTAATGGATAGCATGTAGCTAAATGGTTGACATTCCTGCTTTACAGTTCTCCTGTGGTTACGATTGTTACAGCTTTTTCAGCATAATATCAATAATATGCCAAAAGAGTTTTAAGTGAAATATGGACACACCTTTAACATCTAAAACATTCTTTGTTTTTTTCTTTTTTTAATCATGCTGAACTGTAACTAGCCATTTTTCTTTTGTGAGAAGGATAGTGCTTTGATAATTAAAAAGTAATCATCAATTTAAATTACCTTTTAGTAATGATTTATTTTCTCCTCTTTTTGGTTGGGGAATGGAGAGAGATCTGATAACTTATTTGTATTATCACATCTTATTGTATGTTTCTGATAATGCAGGGAACTCTGAGATGAATCTTGATTTTTTTTGAATGGGTAGTAATCCTGTTTAACCAATAACTGACCCAACATTTGTCCACTTTCAAGCTAGTTTGTGTTTGAGAATGCATAGCTTTGGGAGCTGCTTGTTTAACCTTCTGTTTTAGATCAACAGGTTCATGCATTTTGGTTTGAACTTCCTAAAATGTAGTAGTGATTTTGTTTTCTTGGTAATAGTTTGGCTTTAAAATGGTATCCAGAGGTAAAATTTATCTAACCAAGTTGCTAGTATCCCTCTAGGCATTATTCTCAGAGACAGTATAGCAGTGATTTTGTTTATTTCCTTGCAATATCAGAAACCATGGAGGTGATCTCCCCAACTGAAGAAGTTGTCGAACCAGTTACACCAGTACAAGAAGAGATTCCTCTTTCAGAACCAGGTTGGTAGTAATATTAAACAATCAACTAAAACAATTAATAAAGCATGTTGCCTGGCATAGTCATTTAAAATATTCTCAATTAGAAATTTCAGAAACCTCTCACCTGCACTACTGGGAGAGTTGGAGCCAGAGAGGTTTTTTTGGTCCTCTCATTGTCAAGAGGACTAGATTCCAAAGGATTTGTTTTCACAAATGCTGAGCAGTTTAGTTTCCGAAGCCAATCCATACAAACAGGTGAAGAGCAGGAATGTACTCCACTGGTGTGCAGAAAACAATGCTTTTATGTGGCCTTTGTAATGGGAAGTATTAAACTCATGATTGTCCTTTACTAAGTGATCCACCTTAACATTTTTGATGAGTAATAGAGTGAGGATAATAAACAAAGAGCCATGCTTTAAGCAGCTTGCTACGTTTTTTAAACTTGCTGCTGCAACACATCCTGGTCCATAGTCCTTAGTATGGAGGACCAGGAATTTTATAACCACTCCACATCTCCCTTTTTTTATAATAAAAAAGTTTAAAACTGAAATTATAACTCAATGTATATACACACAATTCACAATAAATGTCAAATTCCTTAAAACTATTTATATTACTGCATCCACTTATGAATTGCATTTCAGTAGTCCTGAGGATTATTCTAAAGATCAAAAAGAAGAACAGGAGTACTTGTGGCAGGAGTACTTAGAGACTTAGTACTCCTGTTCTTCTTTTTGCGGATACAGACTAACACGGCTGTTACTCTGAAACCTGTCTAAAGATCAAGTGTTTGAAAGTGTCCGATTAGTCTTCCAGACCACGTTCTCTCATCTTTTGAGTTTGTGCGTGGAGTCCCCCTGTGGAGGAGAGAGACATCCTGACAGAGTAACTGCAGGTCCCAGATCCTCTTTGTTGTGTTTGGAAATGTTGAAGATGAATCCGATACCTCTGGAGAAGTCTTTTTGGAATCTCCACCCTTTAGGATCTGAGAGCTTCTGACAAGTTCTGAACAATTCCAAATATCTGAACAATTCCAAATATAACAATTCCAAACTTTGTTCCCTGGTCTCAGTTCAGATAGTTCTTCTTTTCAGTTCCAAACATAAAAATTCAGCAGTAACAAAACTTCAATTTCAGCATCCCATTTTCAAAATTCCTTCAGGTTGGGCCACTTAAGTTTAAGCTGCATTGGTGCCACAGGTAAAGGTGTCCTTAGTCATCTTCCTATCAGAAATTCTATAGGAGAAAGTCCAGATGCAAGTTTTGTTGACCAGCCAGGAGTGCTTTATATGGGTCGACTGATTTTTGTAGAAGTTGTTTTAACTGCTTTCTCCATCCCCCTGTTACTCTGGGGGGTAATGTGGACTACTTGCATGATGATCAAAATCAAAGTCCTAATGCTAGGAAGGTTTCAGAGGTAAATTGAGGCCCATTATCAGACATGAAGACTTCAGGAACGCCACATCTTGCAGATACTGATTTTAGTTTTTGGATGATCTGTGCTGAAGAGATCTGTACAAGTATAGCTAAATCAATATAACTGGAGAAGGAATTGAATACAAAAACGTATGTATGTCCTGAAAAACAAATCTGTGGCGATCTGCTGCCAAGGTCTGTCATGTGTCTTAGTAGAGAGTAATGGTTCTGGTGTGGGTTTTTTATTTTGTTTTGTTTTTTGTTTTTTTTTCATTTCCCCCCCCCCCTTTTTATTGTATCTCGCAGCCATCTACAAAGGTCTGAATTTGCCTATTCAGACCAGGTCTCTATACAGATTATTTTGCTTGTGTTCTGCACTTGTTTATACCTTGCTCTCCTCCATGGATTTTGGAGAGCATCCCTTTCTCAAGTACCATAGTGCTAAGAATACTCTGTCCTTTCAGAAGCAGGCCATTGGCCATGTGTGAAGGTCATTTATATCCTGCCAATGTGGTGTTAGGTCTGTTGGAAGCTGACTCCTTCAACCCTCTATCTCTCCCATCCACGCCCCCCGCTTCTTGCTAC